GCACTGATGGGGATGAGCGCCGGCCGCCAGCCTGGGTGCACGTGTGCGTGCTTGGGAGAACGTATGCTGATGGGTGTGATGTGTGCGTGTGTGAGCAAGCGCTTGTGCATGTGTGTGCATGTGTGAGAGTGTGTTCGTGCCTGTGTGCATGTGTGAGCGTGTGCTTGTGAGTGTGCATGTGTGAGAGTGTGCCTGTGTGAGTGTGCATGTGTGAGCGTGTGCTTGTGAGTGTGCTTGTGTGAGCGTGTGCTTGTGAGTGTGCATGTGTGAGAGTGTGCCTGTGTGAGTGTGCATGTGTGAGCGTGTGCTTGTGAGTGTGCATGTGTGAGCGTGTGCTTGTGAGTGTGCATGTGTGAGCGTGTGCCTGTGTGAGTGTGCATGTGTGAGCGTGTGCTTGTGAGTGTGCATGTGTGAGCGTGTGCTTGTGAGTGTGCTTGTGTGAGTCTGTGCCTGTGTATGTGTGAAGGAGTGCGTGCTTGTGTGTGTGATATGTGAGTATTTATGTGTGAGCGTGTTTGTGCATGTGTGTGTGTGTGCTTGTGAGTGGTGCGTGTGTGTGTGTGGTATGCGTGTGCATGTATAAGTGTGTGTCTGTGTGTGATACGTGAGTGTGTGCATGCCTTTGTGTTCACATGCACACCTGTGGGGACGGCTTTGAAGAACATGCTACCTGGACTCTGGCTGACCTACTAGGCCCCCAGGGCTGGGGACAGTGATGGGGAGCGAGGGTTGGGGGGCAGCGGTGGGGAGTAGGTGCTGGGGCACAGAGGTGGGGCGTCTCAGCACATGTATGTAGTGGTGCTGGTCGCTGGGGGGCGGGGCAGGCAGTGTGAGTCTCCCCCTCCAGTTAAGAGAGAGATTAATATATTCAATCTGCTCTGGGTAATTGAGGGAACAATTGGAGTGTTTTTCTAAAGCCTATAAAACTGCCTCATTTGCCAGGAAGAGCGGAATGGCCGCGCTCCTGCCCTGTGTACAAGGAGCGGGAGGAGGGAGGGGGCGGCAGGAGGGCCCCGAGCTGGGTCTGGGCTGGGGGATCAGCCCATGGCCTGTGGCTACGGAGCTCGGAGCTCGCAGTCTGCTCTAACCCTGTCTCCCTGCCCCAGCAGAGCTGCAGGAACACACTCCTGGAGTCTCAGGTGCCCCACCTGTGAAATGGGTCAGTGGAGGCTGGGGGGGGGGAAGTGAGAAGCGCAGCAGAAGGGGAGCCGTCAGGGCCCCATGGACCCGGTTCCCCCAGGCAGACCCACTCCCCAGCCCAGGCGGAGATGGAATGGGCAGTAAAGTTAATGAAAACCACATTGTGAGTCTTTCCCGCTTGAACCACTCCGGTCTCCAGGGCAATAGAAACAGCGTCTGCAATGGCGAGCAATAAAAGACGTAATGAATTTAAAAGCAGAGCAAAGAGGGGAGGAGCGAGGGGAGCCGAGTGTTCTGGCCCAGAGGCAGAAGGCGCCTGGGGCCGGGGGCTGGGGGTGCCTGGGCTCGGGCCCGGAGCTGCCCTGGGGAGTCGGGAGGCTGGAATCTGAGAGCCCGTGGGGGATGGGGAGGGGAGGTAGAAAGGGAGATGGGGCGAGGGAGGAACAAAGGGAGGGCGTGAAGAGACCCCGGTTTCCGGACGGGGGACTGAGGCAGAGGTGACACGTAAAGTCCCTGAGGTCCCTGCCCTTTTCGCCTCTGCTTCTCAGCGAAAGCCCCAGCCCCGTGGGCCGGAGCCACTATCAGAAGCCACAGGCTGAGAGCCAAGTGCTCAGTGTTTGGGGATTGCTTTATTAGCTTTTCCTTTCCCTTTTCCCCCTCCAGGGCAAAAAAAAAAAAAAGGTGTTTTAAATGGAAAGAAAAAAAAAAGACCCTTGAAAGCGTCGTCGTTTAAAAGGCTCCTGGGGGAACAGAATCATTTCTGGAAACAAAACTGCGATTGTGTGGGAGAGGTAAAAGAAGGGCGCGCCCCTCCCCCTCATTCCTGCTCCTCCCCTTGGGGAGGAAACTCGGGGTCTGCTGAGTGAAGAAGCCGGGAAGATGGTTAAGGTCACGCTCACCCCCCTGGAAATGTCATCCCGGGCTGGGCTGTCCCGCGGAGGTTTTGCGTTGAGAGGTGTGCCCCGAGTCCCGGAACTCCACCCCGCCCCCAGCCTCCAGAGACTTCCATCAGCCTTAGAGGAGCTGAGTGGAGACCCCCAGCTGAAAGCTGGGCTCTGGTGGTCTGTTTCCCTCCCCATTTGGGGAGCCCAGGTCCCCTCTGCAACCCACCAGCCACCACTCTCCCCCTGACCCGGGCTGGGTGACAGGCAGCAGGCTGGGGACACAGGTCAGGGACAGGAGGAGGCCGGCTGACTGTAAGTACCCGGTACAGCAGGTGGGTCCCCCGGGCTCAGTCCTCTCCGGCAGGGTTCCCCACCCTCCGCGACCCTCCTCCTACTGCTTGCCAGGTTGGGAACAAGCTCAGGCCACTGTCAGACAGGCAGGCTGAACCCCACTGCCTGAGGCACTGGGTGTGGCTTGGAGGCACGTGTCCCCTAGGTGCCATTGAAGGACTTAGCCCCACCCACAGCCCCTCCCCACCCCGTGAGGAGGAGCAAACTCCAGCTTGGAGCAGGAGTGGGTCTAAGTCCGGGTCATGCTCCAGGATCAGGCTGGAGGGTGGAGGGACAGAGAAACGCTATGATTCCGGTTCCGGCCCAGCCCAGTTCAGCTTCCTCTTCATCACTCCATTCCTCCCATCCCCTTCCCCCACATCTGTCATCCTAGGACCATCATCAGCTGGACAATGACACATGAGGTGGGGAACAGCTTATGAGTCCACAGGACTGCCTGGATGAAATGTGTTTGGAAGGGACGAGCAATGCAGGGAAGCTTCCTGGGGGAGGCGGCCTCCGTCTCTCCCTTTGCTTCCCCAGCTTCAAACCCACTCCTGGCCTGAAGTGAATATTGGCGCAGTCAGGCTGCACCTAAGAATATGATTCTTTCCTCTCCATCTCCATTCTCACCCCCTTTTATTCTCTCCACCCAAGAGCCCTCACGCCTGCCCTGCCTCTAGGCTCCTGTTCCTAGTTGGGTTGAGTCCCTTCTGGACTGCCATTGCAAAGAAGGGAGGGACCCTGGTTCCAGGCCCGGGGCCCACTCCCCCCCCAACCCGACCCCCGCCCCCACCTCCCATCAGGCCACAGGCTGAGGCCTTGCTGCTTCCACATGCCAGCAGCAGGGGGCGCCCGTCTTCCTCTGGTCTAGGAGCCACCGCCCCTCCCGCCCCGGTGGCCCCTCACCAGGCACAACCCCCCCAGCCCCGCCCTGCTGTCAGGATTGTGATTGCTAACCCCCCACGAGGGAAGCGATTTTCCTCTCCCTTGAAAGCCATTTTCTTGTCTTGTTCGAAGCAGACATCTGACACTTTAAGAGGGGGGATGGCAGGGACGATGGCATTAAATAACTGAAATCAGAGCTGCTGAGGGCAGTGCGCCTTCTGGAGCCGGCCTGCAGCTGGCCCTCCCCCTCACAGTTGCTCGGAGCCGCCATCTGCAAAGCCCTGTCCTGGGGGCGGGTGCACCCGCTGCCCCCCAGCCCCGCCGCGAGTGCACCCTGGAAGCAGGGATGGTTTCTCCCCAGGGCCTCTGGTGAGCTTGGTCCTGTGTCACAGACACTGGGCCTGGGGGCCGATCCCCTGCTCAGTGGACAGGGAGCTTGCAAAGTGCGAGCAGAGGATCCTGGAGGAACCAGGCATCCACCCCGGTCATAAGCTCTCCGAGGGGACAGAAGTAGACATGGATTAGCTGGTGGGCCCAAGTGGAGGCTGAGACCTGAGCAGGATGGGGGAGTCCCCTGGGGGCGGGGGGGGGGTTGTTTGTCCTTCCTGTTCTCCTAGAAACATGCTCTACACCCCAGTTTCTAGCAGACATCCCCACTCCATCCTGAGTCAGACAACCTGCCTTCGCTATTGTCTCCCCATTCCTCCCATGTCCCCCCTCACTGGCCCCCTCCCAGCCCTAGTCAGGTAGCCCACCCAGATTGCATCCTGCAGCCCCAGGCCAGGCCTAGCACCCCAGAGTCTAAGTGCTCCTCTGCACTCCTGATTCCCTCCCCAACTGCGGGCCAAGCCCTGGGCTCCTGCCCCCCTTCTCCTGGCACAGCCCCCGAAACCCAGAACCAGAATCACCGGTCCTCAGTCTCAGCCGCCTGAGCGGGGTCCGGCCCAGGCCGGTGCTTTAACATGAGAGTGACTGAGTGAGGGGATCGATGAACCCGATTAGTGGCAGCATCTCTCCTGTCAGGCCTTCCCCAGGTCCCAGATCACACCGGTACACCCTCCCCACTTTGCCGTGGGACTTCTAGAAGCTCACAGAGCCCTTCTGGTGCCTACTGGGGTCAGGCAGGAGGCACCTGCACCAGGCCTGACCTGTCTCTGGACCCCGAGAAGGTCCCAGGAAAGCTGGGGAGGAGCCGATTTCCCTACCAGCCACATGGGCTACCTCTGCACCTGCTTCCCCTGGTGACGCCCCCCACCCCCCACCTCATTTCCTGGCTGGGAGCCGCTTGGGAGCCCCTCTTATAGCGCAGCTGAGCACCTGACTCCTCACCTGGGCCTGGGTACTCCTGGGACCCTTTTCAGGGCTAACCCCCTCCTGGCCTGAGTGGCAGTTGGCCGGATCAGATGGTGGACGCCAAGAATCTTCTGGACTATCATGCCGCCAAGTCTCCCTCCGAACCTGGTAAAGACGGAGGAGACTCAGTGTCAGGAACTCAAGGGACTCAGGGGACACTCACAGGAGCCTGGGATGTCCCTGCTCCGAGAGGTCATCGCTCTATTCACTGTCTGCCCCTTTCAAATGGGACCTCCCTGACCCATTGGGCTCCAGAACGGAACAGGGAGGTGAGGAGGGGGTCCTGGGGAAGGGCTACAGGGCTCTGTGAGGGCTGAGGGGGTGGACAGGCTGCCCAGAGGCACCAGGTGTGCTAATTGGGGGAGCAGTGATGGGGCGCGCCACACCCCCTCCTCCAGGGAGCACCCACCTGTGACGCGGGAAGCGGCGCCCCCGGTTCTGCGCAGTGGGCGCCGCCAGGAGGGCTGCTGGGTGGCGGAGGGGCCCGGTGTTCGTGGAAGGCCACGCGGTAGGCCAGGCCGCCGCAGTGGCGCGCCGTGGGGGCTTCGCTGGGCCGCAGCAGGGCTAGGCTGCCCCGGTAGCGGTAAAGGTCCTCGTGCCGGCGCGCGCGCGGGTTCATGCGTGGCTGGTTTGGGCGCGGGTAGATGGGGAAGATGCCCTCGCCCACCCTCCGGGCACGGCCCGCGGAGTCCAGCCGCAGCGCCTCCACCCGCAGCTGCGCGTCGTGCTGCCCGTCGTTCTTGCAGAAGCCTGGGGGGAGGTCAGAGAGAAGGGCTCAGGCAGAGGGTCCTGGGTATCCCCACCTGGCATGACCCCCACCCCTAGGGATGAAGAGCACAGGCAGGGAAGAAAGACTGCACGAAAGTTTGCCAGGCCTTTAAAGTCTGGCTTGCACACACGCTAGGGGGAAAGGCAGCTCAGATAGAGAAGGGAGCACCAAATAAAGGGTGTTGGGAGGATCCTCTCAGGATGGGAGATGCGTGATGAGAGTAGACTATAGACCGAACAAGATTGCCACGCAATGTCTCTTGCAAACCACAGCACCCAAAAGGAGAGAGATAACAAAGGGGAATGCCCTGCCACAGAGGTAGGGTGAGATGGGGGGATGGGGGCGGGAGGGATACTGGGACTGGTGGTGGTGGAGAATGGGCACTGGTGGAGGGATGGGGGCTCGATCATTGTATAACTGAAACCCAAGCACAAAAATTTGTAAGTCCACAACTGTACCTCATGATGTTTCACTAATAAAAATTTTAGGGAAAAAAATAAAGTCTGGCTTGGCTAGTTTTCCCTGGTGTTGGACTCCCGGGCACCCACCCCAGGACCTGCCACTGTCCCCCTTAATGATAAGGATCTTAGCAGCAAATGAGTTCCTACCTCCCACCCCCACCCTACACCTACCCCTGAGGGTAGGTTCCACCTGCCAGATCTCTGGTCACCTGAAGGCCTGGGACTTGGTTTCCCCAATTTTTCACATTTCCCCTCCTCCAGGAAGCCTCCCTGGATGGTCTCACAATCTCCCTGAGATCTGCTTTTTTATGCATCTCTTAGCTGTTCTCTCTTTGGGATTCCTGTCTCTCCAACCACTTGACCTGGAGGCAGGGTTGCAGGTCTCTATCCGGTGTCCATACCTACAGTCCAGAGGTGTGTAGGGATGTAGCCAAATATTACTCCATGTGGCCCCCACTGCTGGGACTGGTGCCAGACATGCTCTTTGTTTAGTGCTCACACACTGCCACGCATCCCTTCATGTCCTCCCTGCCCAGCACTCACCAGTGAGCTACAGGCTCATGGAAAGCCACCATTACCCAAGGCCACACGGGCGGGACTGGCCCTTCCCTCCCTGGCTCTGGGAACTCTCTGAGGATGCTGAAAGGGGGTCCAGCACCCCTTCATCCCCCATCCCCTCCCTCCCTTCCGTCCTACCTTTGGGCAAAGTAAAGACAAACTTGCTCCTGGTGAGGGGAAGGCTCTGGCCCGGGTCCCGCTGCTCAATGACCTCTGTGACAGCGGAGCAGGCAAGGCGGGGGTCCTCATCATTCACCTGCAGCAGCACCCCAGCTCCAGAGCCGGCCTGCAGGGGGTTCTCAGCTGACAGGCGCAGGGCATAGCTGCCTTCTTCGTTGAACCCCACGCTCAGTACCTCGAACTCCAGGTCTAGGGTCTTCTCCTCGGTCCGCAGACTCTGGCTCAGCAGGGGGGCAGGCACCCAGGCTTCCGGCCCTCCAGATGCCATGGCAGACACAACCCCACAGCTAAGCACTGTCCCCTCCTGCCCCTCGTCCCCATCTGGGGTTCATTGTAAGGCCTACATGCTGGGTGCTCAGGGCCGCACCCCACCCGTCTCTGTTTGTTTGAGGAGAAACCAGGTAACAAAGGCAGCCATGGTTCCCTCCCGCCGGACCTTGTTCCCTCTACAAGCCGCGAGTGAGAAGCTGCTGGCTGCCAAGTGCTGTCTCAGGCATTGGACATGCGGCAGTGGCCCCAACAAAGACTCCTGAGCTCCGGGAGCGCTGGGGAGGGGCAGGAAGTAGGTAAAGTTATATGGCAATTAGAGAGAACTCAGTGACAGTGTGCACTAAAAAATTGAGCTCTGGGGAAAATTGGGGTGCAGTTTTGCAGGGGTGAGGAGCTCTGAGTGGAAGATAGGATGTGAGTGGTCAGGACTGTAAAAGCCTCTCTCGATGGACTTATTTCTGGGGGGGGCCCAGTGGCCGTTTCTGGGATCATGGCCTCAGCTCCTGCTTACAGAACCAGTTTGTCTTCTTAAGAAAAAATTACAATATAGGGCACAGCTGCATGTGCAGAGCCCAGGCCCTGATGGCACGGTGGGAGCAGGCTGGAGCCCTCTTCCACGCTGATACTCAATGGGAGATTCTCCTTAGTAAGACTTTTTGTTTGGTTTGGGGGTCACACCCAGCAGTGCTCAGGGCTTACTGATGGCTCTGTGCTCAGGAATCACTACTGGTGGGGCTTGGGTGACCATATGGGATGCCAGGAATTAGACCTGAGTGGGCTGCATGCAAGACAAGTGCTCTCCCCACTGTGCTATTGCTCCAACCCTCTTGATAAGAATCTTTTTTCTTTTTCTTTTTTTGGCCTTTTGGGTTACACCGGCAATACACAGGGGTTACTCCTGACTTTGCACTCAGGAATTACTCCCAGCGGTGCTTAGGGATGCTGGGAATCAAACTCCAGTCGGCCGTGTGCAAAGCAAACACCCTTCCCACTGTACTATTGCTCCAGCCCCTTAATAAGAATCTTAACCAAAAGTTCTCTCTAAATCATCAGCATCTCTCTTATCTCTTCTGCCATCACCCATATCCACCATTCTCATCATGGTCACTACCACCGCTGTCCCTCCCACTGACTCACCCATCACTACCACCATCACCTCCACCTTTGACCGTCACCACCACTAACATCACCATCACTGTCTCTAGGATTATCTCCATCATCGTCATTTCCATCACCACAATCACCTTCACCATCTCTACCTTATTATCACCACCGCCATCTCTATTACCACCATTACCACCTGCACCGAAGTGACTATTCCCGCAGTCTCCTCCGCCCCTTTCAACCATCACCCTCACCACCAGCCTCCCTGGGCAGAGCGTGCCCTCTTCCTGCATTGTCATGACTGCAGTCACTAGCCCATGCCAGCAGCAAGGGCGACACTCTTCCTTGAGCTGCTCCTGGGTATCGGCCAGCACAGGGTCTGGGAGATCTATCATGTCCCACATGGATGAGGCATACACTGAGGCTGGAGAACCTCACATCATACGATCAGCAAGAAGCAGAGCTGAGACTGGAACCTCGAGACCCTAATATTTTCTCTACTAATCATGCATTGGGACTGGCTTAGGGATTTAAATGCAGTCTAATAGGTGCTTCTGTCCCCTGAAGCTACCCGGGTTCTGAGTCAGTGCACACATTTTTTTTTTTTTTTTGCTTTTTGCTTTTTGGGTCATACCTGGCAATGCTCAGGGCATTACTCCTGGCTCTGCATTCAGTAATTATTCCTGATGGTGCTGGGGGACCCTATGGGATGCCAGGGATTGAATCCAGGTTGGCTGTGTGCAAGGCAAACACCTTACCTGCTGTGTTATGGCTCCAGCATTTACAGTGCACATTTCTGGGCACTAAGACTCCCGCAGTAGAGTTCAGAACTCACTGTGACTGGAATGCTTCCTTTTCAGGAAGGAGAGGGTCTGCCTGGAGATGGGACTGGCCAGCCCAGCTCCGAATCCCAATGCATGCAGTAGGCACATCGGCTACACCTGGCAATACTCAGGCAATACCCAGCAGTTCTTGGGGGGCCCTGCGGTGCTGGTAATAGAATTTGGAGTTCCCAAAAGCAAAACATGTACTCCAGTCATTTGAGGCTCTCCCCAGCCCTATGTAGTAAATTTCTTAGACAAGGAAGAAACAGCCTCCTCGGGTTCCCCAAGGAGAAACTGAGGCACAGACAGAGTAGACGAGCGTTCATGTCACCTGACTTGCAGGTGAACGTGGAAAGACCCTTTCCTTACCTGGGTGTCAGAGGCCTCATTGTACAATAGGCAGGAGCTGAGTTTCTCCCAGCCAAACCAGTTGGCAGCTCCAAAGATATCCTGGAAAGCCATAGTCTGGCCAAGGCGGGGAAAGCGGCTGGCAGAAGATCCCTGGAAACCTTGTCCTCACAGCTGGGCCTGGAGGCCATGGTTGGCCTCAGAGAGGTCTCATGTCTAGGAGGTTCAGTGATTCAGTCCAAGTGTTTCTCTTCCCTTGAATGTTGAAAGTGACCCTCCTGAAAGCGTCCAGGGAGATAGTACAGCGGGTAGGGCATTTGCTTTGCATGTGGCTGACCCCGGATTCGATCCCCCGTGTCCCATATGGTGCCCCAAGCACCACCAGAACTAATTTCTGAGTGCAGAGCCAGGACTAATGCCTGAGCTTTGCCGACTATGACCCCCAAAATCAAAGCAAGAAATAAAGGAAAGTGACCCCCAGAAATGTTACAAGAGGGGAGGAAATCCCCTCTGCTCTCTGAGCACCGAGCACTGTGCTCCGCTCCTTGCTGGCAGCTCCCAGCATATCCCCCCGTGGTTTACCCTGAACTCCTCAACATACATGTTGCCCCCCTCCCTCCAGGTTTCTCCTCCCTCCAGCTTCCTGCCAATGGTCAGAGGTGACTGTGGTGAGCGTCCTCCACCTCTGACCCTCTAGCCCCTGCTCTCTACTTGGTCTCTGGACAACTGCCCACATTCATACAAGGCTTGTGCGCTGCCGTGGACTCCCAAGCCTGTTCCCACTACTATTTGGGGGCATGTGTGCATGTGTGTTTCTTTTATTGTGCTGGAATAGCTCTAACACTAAATGTACTATCTTTGCCACCATTTCGAGGGTACACTGGAATGTGACCCTTTGTGCCCAGGCATCTCTGGGGCTGGCCTCAGTTCCGTGGGGAAGTGCTCAGGGCTTACCTGGCTCTGCACTCAAGGATCACTACTGGCAGTGCTCAGGGGGACCATACGTGGTGCCGGGGATGGAAATCAGGTCTGCCACGTGTGAGGCAAGAGCTTGACCTACTGTATCATCTCTCTGGCCCTGTCGTAGCCATTTTAAGTATGCAGTTCCAGGTTCCAGTGTTAAGTATATTTACATGGTTGTGCAACCCACTTGTGGTCTCCTTTCATCTGGTAAAACAGAAATTCTAGAACAACAGCTCTGTTCCCCTCCCTGCAGGCCCTGGAAACCACTGTTCTGTTTGTCACTAAGACTGTGGCCCCTCTGGGCAGCACAGCAAGTGCAACCACTCAGGTTGGTCTTTTTGATGGGCGGCTTATTTCCCTAAGTCTGATGTCCCAGGCTTTGATGACGGCTTGCTCTGGCCCCAGGCCAGGCCGGCCAGTTTTCCCTGTCTGATGCCTTTGCTACTACTGTTTCTTCTGGCCACCTGATGTCATCTAATACATTTGCACACTGGTTCAGAGCTTCCTGGCGTGTGGACCAGGTTAGTGACCTCTCCACTACAGCCATCCTGTTCTAACTGATGATTTTCCCCACACCCAATAGCATAATCTGTCAGGGAACATGTTTGTATTCCCAGGACAGAATTGGGCAAAGGATAGGTGCCTGTGGGATAGCTAAAGAATGATGGATGGATGGATGGATGGATGGATGGTGGATAGATGGGTTAATAGCTAGATGGGTGATGGATAATGGATGGATGGAGGGGAGGATGGAGCAATGGATGGATGACTGGGTGGACAGATGGATTATGGATGGATGGTGGGTGGATGGGTGAATGATGAATGGATGCTTGGATGCTTGGACAGATGGATGGATCGAAGGATGGGTGGATACATGGAGGGATGTACGAATGGATGATGGAGCGATGGATGGATAAATGGAGGGATGGTTGGATTATTGGGTAGATGGATGGATGGGTGCTTGAATGATTATTCAAATGATCTGAAGGTAAACCTGATTCAGGTTCTGTCACTGTCATTGATTTCCTCAAGCAGGCACCAGTAACATCTCCTTCCATCTAACCCTGAGATTTTAGAAAGTGCCACATTCGAGGCTCTTTCAAGGTAGGGGAATGAGACCCATCATTGTTATTGGTTTTTGGCATATTGAATACGCCATGGAGAGTTTGCCAGACTCTGCCATGCGAGCAGGATACTTTCGGTAGCCCGCAGGGTTCTCAAGAGTAAGAACTAGATAAGATGTCATGCGGCCGCAAATGCTGGGTTTTATAGTCTCTAGGTCATGGCCGTTGATGGGATTACACAGCGCTGGGGGCAGTTGGTGGGTGTAACACCTACTAACTGAAAGGTGAAGGACCTGGGTGGAGGAGGCCCAGTCCTGATCCGAGTAGGCTTGGAGATCTCAGCCCCGGGTCCCGCATGCCTGGGTTCCTCTGCCGTTCCTTCATGCATGAGGCTCGCCCGAACGTGTGGAGCGTGGTCTCAGCATGGCTGTGGCTGGTTCTGGAGGTCTTCAGCTGCCAGGGCTCTGCTCGGGGCGGGGAGGGAAACTCAACCCGCCCTCCTCCAAGGGGCCCCGGTGAGGATAGCCAGGTGTGGGAGCAGGAGACTCTGCACTGATTTCTTCCGGGAGCTGCGTTTTATAGTCTCTGGGTCTACCGTGCTAAAAAAAGAAGAAATGATTCTTTGGATCTCGAAAAAAAATCTAGATTCCACTTGTGAGAAGGGAAGTTCTTTCTAGATGTTGTTTCTTTTGATT